CTGCTCCTGCGGCACCGCCGGCTGCCGCTGCCGCTGCTGCTGCTGCTGCTTCGGCCTCGCCTGCGCCTGCGCCGTCGCCGCAACCTCCGGCTGACCCCAACTCGGCGCTGTTCGAGAAGCTGGCGGCGATGAGGCCGCCCTCGGCTGCTGCCGCCAGCCCGCGCCCGGGCGCCACCCCGACAGGCCAGAACAGCTTCCTGGGCTCCAACGGCTACAACCCGAACGCCCCGCGCGGTCCGTTTGCGCCGGTGCCTGCCAACCAGGGCCTGCTGCAGCCGCTGATCCCGACGTCGGGGACCGGCCAGTTTGTGCCGACCAAGGTGCAGAGCCAGCCGACGGGCATGATGGGCATGCAGATGACGGGGATGCAGCCGCAGCCGACGGGCTTTATGGGCATGCAGCAGCCGCAGCAGCCCCAGATGACGGGCTTCAACGGCAGCGGCTTTGGCGGAGGCATCAATGGCATGGGCGCAATGGCGAGCCAGCCCACCGGCTTCGCTGGCAATGGCTCTGGCTTTGGCGGCGGCATGGGCTTCTCGAGTGCGTCGCAGTTTGGAGGCCAGATGAATGCGCAGCCGACGGGTTTTGGCGGCATGCAGGCCCAGCCGACGGGCTTCATGGGCATGCAGCAGCAGCAGCCGCAGCAGACGGGCTTTGGCAGTTTCGGCCAGCCATCGCCGCAGCCGCAGCCGTCGCCTCAGCCGCAGCAGCAGGGTGATGGCGACAAGTTCAACGCCAGCAACATCTTCCAGCAGGTGAGTGCGGGGTCGCGGGCGTTCCTGGGCCGGAGCGATGCAGGGGCAGTCGGACTGACCGTGCTGCCGACCCTGTATCCGCCTTGCCTACGCGTTTGCGCGCCTCTGCCGACAGATGAAGACGGGCCAGTTTGCCAAGGACCCCAATGCGCAGGCGCAGTCGTCGCGTGAGTAGTGCCATTGCGGGCTGTCGATGCTTCTGATCAGCCGCGTTGTCCCCCTTACGGCGCCGTTTCGCTGACCTGTCGCGATATCCGTGCCACCCTTGGATCGTACCCGCTGCTACAGAGAAATACGATGCGCTGCGGCCGCAGCCGACGGGCTTCCAGCCGGGGGGTGTGATGCAGCCGCAGTTCACGGGGATGAATATGGGATTCGGTCAACAGCAGGCGCCGCCGCAGCAGCAGCCGTATGGCCAGGGCGGCTATGGGGGTGGATACGGAGGCTTCTGAGGGGCCGTTGCCTGCCTCGCTCGCTTCTCTGGCTTGGCCTCTTTTTGCCCTGCTCCCATGCTCTGGTCGTGTCCAGTGTCTGTCTTAACGCCCTTCTTGCATCGATCCCTTGCCGTACGGCCTGTCGTTTCTGTTGGATCCATCTACATTTGAAGGGCATGCCCTCCTTTGGCGTGGAGAAAGCGCTTTGCTGCCTCCCGTATGGCGTTTCGGTGGCCGCTGCGTCGCTTTGCTATCGTCGCAGGCGAGCGCTGAGGGCCGTGGCCTCATCCACACGTCAGCGGGCACAGGAGTCGCCTTGGGTGAGGCGCGACGCGCACCTGCTTCTTTTTTTTTCCCACGTCTGCGAGTCGCGAAGACGCGCTGAGCGGTGCGGTCTGGCCCCTGGGCAATTCGGCAGAGGGAAGAGGATAAGCGGTACAGAAGCCCTGGCCCTGGTCCTGGCCCTGTGTGCACGCGCGTCTTTTGGCCGAGGGGAAAAGGCAAGGTCGAAAGCGGAGGTGAGGCGAGGGCCACAGAGACGGCGGAGGGGCGACGGACGGACGCGCCTCTGTGCACAAGAGGCAGCGGAGAGAGAGAGGTCGAGGGCCAGGGTTGGATCGCGGGACGACCCAAAAAAGAGGAGAGAGGCGCGCAGCCTGGCGCTGGCCTGGCCTTGGCCTCTGAGATCCCGTAGGCCAAGTCCAAGGACAAGGGCAAGGGCAAGACCTGGCCTGGGCTCGAGCTGCCGCCTGGCCTGCCAGATGCACACCTTGTGGCAGGCAGGCGGGCACACGTCGCGCCTCTGCCCGTCCTGGCCAGGCCTAACCTTCGAGCGGGGGCACACCGAATCCGACACTTCTCTCAGCTGCCTCTCAGCGACCTCACCTCTCTCTCTCTCTCTCTCTCTTTGCTCTGCCTCCATCTGCCCGCTGCCTGCAGTCCGCTCACCACCATCCCGTCGTCGCATCGCCCTCGTCGTGTCGCCCCACTCAGCCGCGACCAGGTCCTCTGCCATCCACCGCCGACATCCCCATCGTCGTCGTCACCACCACCACCACCACCACCACCACCACCACCACCATCATCAGCCCAGCAGTCCAACACTCGCACGTCTCCTGGCCCCGTCACGACGCGCTCGCCCACCTTCCCGTCCTCTGACTTGGATCGTGCCGTCCTTCGCCCAGCCGGCCTGGAAAGCCCACTCTTGCCTTGCATCGGGTCCGAATCCCCGCCATCGCTCGATCGGTCCATCCGGTGGAACCCTTGACAACGTCGCTGGCTCCTTCCTACACTTCTACCACCTGCTTCATCCCATTCACCTTCCAACCCACCGTCTCGCCTACCACATTCGCAAGCGACACCAATTAGCCACAGCTGCAAGACTTCTTCCCTGTCCCATCTCCCCGTCCTTCCCGCCCCTCGCCACCGCACCCCACACCAACCACTGGCGGACCGCAAGAGGACAGGGCACTCGTCTCGCCGACAGTCGCCCTCAGCTCGACGTCCGTCTGGCCCACCCTCTTATACCTCCGCCTCCTTCTTTTGATCGCTCGACGGCCAACCTGCAGCCCGCCCTGTCCGCCACATGTCTCGTCATCCCCTCACACCTTCCAGCACAGCCCGGTCAGAAAACCTAGAGCCCACGGCGACCCCCATCACCGACTCCAAATCCTACCGCTCCTTCGCCGGCGGCATCACCCCCGCTGCTGCCGCCCACGCCCACGGCATAGACCAATCCACTTCGTCGTCGTCGTCCTACCCGTACCCCAGCTTCAGCACGCCCGGCCTCTTTTCCGCCACCCCGCTCCGCCAACTCCACGACCACAACCTCTCGGACTCGGGTGCACCCTACGGCTACCACGCCCTCTCCCCCATCGGGTCCGGCATCAGCCCCGCGAAACCCCTCGACAGCTTTGCCGCAAGCAGCGACGAAGCCGTCCCCGCCTCCGACTCCGCACCCACAGCCGCTGCCGCCGCGGCCAAGCCCTCTGTCGCTGCGATGCCCCTTATGACCAGCGCTCCGGCGCCCTCGGCCGCTTCCGAGAGCCTGCAGCGTGTCACCGGGCAGGCTGCAGGCGCAGCCCCCTCTGCTTCCAACCCGCCGCCTGCCGCCGCTCCGGACCCGCCGAAGCCGACGACTGCCAAGAGCAAGGCTGCCATGAGCCACGCCGAGGCCAACGCGGCGCTCCAGAATTCGGGCGGAGCGGTGCCCACCGTCTACCTCGCCACCTATTCCAACGTCCCCGTCTACGAAGTCACTGTGCGCGGCATCGCCGTGATGCGCAGGCGCAACGACGGCTGGCTCAACGCCACCTCCATCCTCAAGATTGCCGGCATCGAAAAGACCAAGCGGACAAAGATTCTCGAGAAGAACATCCTCACTGGCGAGCACGAAAAGATTCAGGGCGGCTACGGCAAATTCCAGGGTACTTGGTGAGCTCGCCCGGGCTGAAGAAGGGGGCAGCATCCCGGCCTCGGTCATCGCGGCCGCGGCCGCCGTCGCTGTCAGGAAGATGAGCGCCGCTGACGTCCCTTCCTTTCCTCACTCTTGGCCGACGCGCTCTGCAGGATCCCGCTGCAGCGAGCCCAGCAGCTTGCCGCCGAGCACAATGTCGCCCACATCCTCAAGCCGATCCTCGAGTTTGACCCCGCCAATGCCGACCAGCTGCCCAAGCTTTACCAGCGGAGGAAGCCGCAGCCGGCGGCGAGGAACACGTCGACGTCGGCCATCCACGACGGGCGGACGTCGGCCACACCGAGCAGCACAAAGACCTACTCGCCCGCGCCGTCCGTCGGCCCGACTGCCGGTCCCAGCCAGCAGCCGCGCTTCTTGTCGCTCCGCCCGCCGCCGCCCGAGGCCGACAGCCGGTCCATGTCGCCCGCCGTCTTCCTCCCGCCCGGCGGCGGAGGCCTGCTCAATGCTACCACGTCCGTCATGAGCCCGGCGGCGCCGCTGGCGATCCCGCCCGGCTCGAGCCAGGCTGAGCAGGACGCTCTCCGCGGCTATTCGCAGTACGGCTACGTACCTCAGGGTGTCCCGCTGCCGGACCCCGCCGCTGCTCCCGGGTCTTCCACAGCCAGCCGCAAGCGGGCCGGGCCGTCCGACTCGCCCGGCCCTGCCGCCGACACCGACGGCGCCAGCCAGTCGAAGCGAGCAAGAGTAGTGAGCCCCTCGAAAGGTGACCGCGGTGATGCCGCTGCAACTGCCGGCCCCGCGGCTGACCCACTTGCACCTGTCAAGGATCTCAATGCGTTGGGCCCCTCGGGTGGCAGCTTCCGGGCCGCTGCAACGCCGCGAGCCCATCGAATGGCTGTCCGCAATCCTAGCTCGCGAGCAACAGACGGAAGCGTTCCGCGGTACGCGGACAGAGCGATCCCGCCGAAGCCCTACGACGAAGGCGAGAAGCGGATGCGGGACCACCTCGTCGCTCTCTTCGCTGAAGACGACGCAGCCAAGGCCAAGGGCCCGCCCGTACTGGCTCAGAACGGCACCAACGCCGCCGCCACAGAGCGGGAGGTCGGCGCGGTTGACTCGCGCGCCGATGCAAAGCCGGCAGCCGGAGGACCTGCGGAACCCGAGAGCTACGAAGCCAAGCTCGACAAGTTGCTGCAGGAGCTCAAGGAGAAGGCGAGCCTCGGCGGTCTCGGCGGCGGCGGCTCCGAGGGCCCCAAGCCCACACTCGATCTCGTCACCGACGACCACGGCCACACTGCGCTCCACTGGGCCTCGGCGCTGTGTCGGCTGCACCTGGTCAGGATTCTCACCGCCCGCCCGGTCACAGAGGGGGGCGCCAATGTGCACGCGGGCAACCACGCAGGAGAGACGGCGCTGCACCGTTCGGTGCTGGTGACAAACTCGTACGATGCCTCGTCGTTCCCTGCGCTGCTGCAGTTGCTCGCAGTCTCGCTCAACACGCGCGACTTCAAGAAGCGCACCGTGCTCCACCACATCGCGCTCGTCGCCGGGCTCAAGGGCAGGGCTGCCTCGGCGCGATACTACATGGCATGCGTGCTCGAGTTCCTCGCCACTGCGGGATCCAAGGGCGGCGCGAGCGGCTATGCCGGTCTTGTCGACGCGCAAGACGAAGACGGCGAGACGGCGCTCGGCATCGTCGCGCGGCTGGGCAACGCCAGCATGGTGCGGATGCTGCTCGACGTCGGTGCCCGAAAGGACCTGCCCAACGCGCTCGGCATCCGGCCAGCCGACTGGGGCATCGAAGGGGGCGATGCAGCTGCTCCTACTGGCGCCGGCCGACTGCCGCCCGCGACGGCCCACGAGCTTGCTACGGCGTTGCCGCACGACATTGTCGCAGCGCTCGGGAGGCCGGCGCAGGGTCCCGTGCTCAAGAGCTCGGACGTGAAAGAACGTGAGTGGCGCGTGATTACGCGGCTGATCCGCACTCGGCGGAGCCTGACTGACGTTGACTTCTGCGCCCCTGGCTCTTGTGCGACGTTCTACTACAGGCATGGGTGCTGCGCTCGAAGAGGTGCAGGTGGCGTTTGAGCGTGAGCTCAAGGAGAAGCAGGACGCCGTCGACGTGGTGCAGGGTCACCTGCATGCGGCCACGCGCGACCTCGCAGCACGCCGGCGCAACGTGTCTGCCGCTCAGGCGCGCGTGGCGGAAAAGGACGAGGCCAAGCAGCGGGTGCGCAACCTGCGGCGGGCGCTGGGCGAGCACCTGGGCGTGTCGCACGAGGACGCCGTATTCCAGCAAAAGGCTGACGCCTTGGTGCGGCTGGCCAACGAGCTGCGGGACCAGAAGCCCAAGTCGTCGCCGGTCGATGGTAATGGCGCAAGCGCCTCGGCGGACGAGCTCGAGGTGCCGCTGGCCTCGGTCCACGCCGACATGCAGGCGTCCAAGGTCGAGGATGAGCAAGAGGCGGTCGAGGTCGAGGAGCTGGTTCGGCTGCGGTGGCTGGTGCAATGGTACGGCCAGTCGTGCGACGAGCTGCAGCACCGCATCGAGGGCCTCGAGGGGGCGTCGGCGACCAAGGAGAAGCAGTGCCAGCAGGTGGTGGCCATGTGCGCCAATGTGCCGCAGGACAAGGTCGAGAGCGTGAGTACACCGCGGGACGACGTGTTCGTTGGCCAGGCGCGATTGTGAGCTGTGCGCTGACGTGTCGTTTGTCCCTCTCTGCTTTGCGCATGGCATGCTCGCTCGTCGCTCGTGATCAGATGCTCGACGATCTGCTGACGGCCATGGAGTCGGACGGGCAGGAAGTCGACCTGGCGAGGGTGGCCAACTTTATGCAGAAGGTGGGCAAGATCCCATCGTCGGGCGGCGGTGCGCCGGCGCCATCAGGGCCCGCAGCGGCTGCATCAGCAGCAGCCCGTCCGTCGTCACGCCCGGCCACGCTCACGCCGCCGCTGCCACCCCCGGCGGCGTAGCGGGCGGACGAGCGGGACGGGAATCGGTGTCGAGTTGGTCGCTGCTTCGTAATTACTGTACATCCTCGGCCTCTGTGTATCTGGCGGATCGGAAGAAGACGATGAAGATTGTCGTGACCATCATGGCCGTACATGCGCGATCGACGTCGTGCCACAGTAGTGGCGGGCTGACGACCGGCTGCCACGTGGCAGGCTCCGGGTAGCGGGTACTGCGTGGGGCCGGTTTGCCGTGGGGTTGCCAGGCATGGGGCGTGCGAGGCGTGTGACCCTTGCCTCCGCACCGACTTCCCCGCTCTTCGTTACCTTTCACCAAGGAGACGGGTGCCACAGCCCTCCCTCTCTCTTCCCTCGTTTCCACCAGCTTGTCCTACCTCGCCCGCCCGCCCGTCCAGCCGCCCCACCTAACCCGTCTTGAGCATCTGCCCGACCACCTCACCTCACCTCATCTGCCGCCGACCCCGAAAGGCGAACGGAGCAGCACGGATATGACGTCGACCAACTACTCGTCGGGCAACGACCGCTTCAACACCGAGGCGCAGACGTGGGACACGCAGGCGGAAGTCGTCGAGTCGTCGTCGCGCTGTCTGTCCCACCTCGTCTCGTCGCCGCTCCTCCCGCCTTCGCAGCTGAGCCAGCTCGACGCGCTCGAGATAGGGTGCGGAACGGGTCTCCTCACCCTCCCGCTCTCCGGCCACGTCTCTTCGATCCTGGCACTCGATACCTCGCACGGTATGGTCGAGATGCTCGACCACAAACTCGAATCCCGCCGCGCCGACGCCGCGAAGAGCGGTAGGGTGACGGCCAAAGTCAAGCTGCTGGAAGATGCGACGGATCCCGTGCTAGAGGGCAAGAGGTTTGGGCTGGTGCTCAGCCACCTCGTCATGCACCACGTCCCACACATGCAGCACCTCGTCGACGTCATGTACGCCTGTACCGCCCACGGCGGCAGGGTGTGGATCAGCGATTTCGAGAATACCGGCAAAGAGGCAGAGGCGTTTCATCCCGTCGCCAAAGTGAGTCGTCGTCGTCGTCGTCGTCGGCGGCGGCGGCCGTGGTGGTGGTGATGGTGGTGCCCCGCCTGCGCTTCATTGGCAGCGGAGCGATGACCGTAGGCTTACCTCTCCCTCCCCTCCCCTCTTCTGCACCGACCTCCACCATCCCGATCTTCACGAACCCAAGCACGCCGGCGTGGAGCGACACGGCCTCGAACGGCAGGAGATGCGCGACATCCTCGCCAAAGCCGGCTACGCCAACGTCGACGTGTTTGAGAGCTTCAGGCTCGACAAGACCGTCGAGTCCGGACAGACGCAGAGCTTCCCCTTTATCGTCGCCACGGGCACCAGAGAATGAGCCGGCATGCAGGCAGGCAGGCAGCTGCACGGTGGTTAGATGGAGAAGGAGAAGGATGACAATCCATGTGTCTGTGAGATTCAGGCGTGAACCTCACTCTGCGAATCGGGACCTCGTGCGGTAGTTAGCGCGGGACCCGTGCCTCGGAGGTCATGGGAGCACCGACGGCTCGGCTTCCACCTCGGCGAGGTACACGTCGCGCAGCACCTCAATCGTCCTCCGGTTGTCGAGCAGCTGGCGCAGCGGCCACCCTTTCCTCCCGTCGTCGACGGCATTGCCGCGTTTCGTGACGATGCCATCGAGCAGCTTGGATACGAAGGCGCCCGTCTCCTGCCCGTCGTCGTCGTCGTCGTGTCCGCCGCTCTCGTCGCGGACGGCTTCCGAAAGGCTCCGCCTGGCCTCCTCGATGTCCTGCGGCAGCTCGATGCGGCTCAGCAGGTCGTCGCGCACCAGCGTCGCCTGGTGCAGCAGCGGCTGCCGCAGGTTCTTCCGTGGGACGCGAAGCATCGCGCGCAGCAGCGCCGTGTACGTCTCGAGCGTCGCCGCGGGCAGGCCAGCGAGGACCGCGCCGTCAGCCGCGACGCCGAGCTTACCGTCCTCGCCGCGGCGCGTCCTGATGCCCATGGCATTGGCCAGTCTCTCGGTCGGCTGCTGCCACTTGTCGATGCCCTCGCGCGCCATCGACTCGAGCACGATCGTCCAGCTCGCCACCGAGGGCTGGACGCCAAACTGCGTCGTCATGTCCCTCACCACCGCCAGCGCCCGTTCGCCGCTGCCCCACGGTATGCGCGATCGACGTGGCGGTCGCGGAATCGATCGCCCAACCTGAGAGGCAGGCGCCGGCCCATGGCTTGGTTCTTGGACGGTCATGTGCCGCAGCGCGAAGGCGCGCAGGAACGGGTCGAAGGTGAAAGAGTCTGGACGGTGGCCCGGCGTCCAGTGTTGGAAGCGCAGCTGACCGACGTGCGCCGCGATGTTTTGCAGAAGGGCTGTGTCCCGGTCTCGTGCCGAACTGTCGCCCGAGACGTCGCCCGGTGCAGAGATCGAGGCTGGGAGCCCGCTATCAGCCCTGGTGGCTGTGGACGTTGACGTTGGCGCCGCCGCCGCCTCGTGGGCTACGGGAACAGTGCTCGGCGGTAGACTTCCCTCCTTCCACGCTGCATAGACTTTTTCGAGGCGACCGAAATCGCGCGCCTGCAGGCATGCGCCCACGAGTGCCCGGATGGCCAGGTTGATGGCGTGAGTGCCGGGCCACGGCGAATTTTTGGTCGACGCCGAGGCTGTCCCATCCGAACGCCATCGCTGAGCCGCCGCCTCGGCGCTGCCTCCCGTGGCCAGCGCGATGAGCTCGTCCGTGATGCCGCCGGCCGGGAGGCGGAAGCCGGATGGCCCTGCAAAGAAGCTGAGCGCCGCTTCCCACATGCCTCGACGCACCAGGCCGAGCAGCTGCGCCGTCTCCCAGAGACCAGTGCCCGTCGGGCATTCCGAAATCGCCTCCTGGACCGGCCGGAGGAACTCGGACGCTTCGACCACCGTCGGTTCGGCAAGCCTTGAACTCTCATCGCCTCCATCCTCGAGCAGGCTGGGGAGGATGACGACGGATCCCATGTCCACAACGGCTTGCTGGAAGTTGGCCAGGGCGGATGCGCTCGGAAGCCGAACGGGACACTGTCTGATGCCATTGACGTCTTGCTCGTCCGGTGACTCTCCGGGGGATTGCAGACCATCGAGACAGGCAAGCAGATATGCTCTTGCCTGTACCAGTTCGCCGGTATTGATGAGGAACGATAACTGCGTCTCGAGCGAGGGGTTCAAGGTGCCCCGCTCATGCTCTCCTTGCGTTTCGTCGATCGGCTCTGCACGAGGCCGGGCATCCAAACCACGCAGCCACTCGAGGCTGGGCAGATTTTGGCTTTGGCCTTTGGACGCCAACTCATCGATTCGCATGGCCAGCTGATCAAACGGCGGTCCTGCCTCGAGCAGCCGCGTCAGTGCCAAGGCATAAGTGAACTGATCGATTCGGAGCAGCTCGCACTGTGCTTCGTCGAGGCCGCCGGGCTCGAGCGGCCTTTCGATCCAAAAGGCGGCGTCTTCGAGCCTGCCGGAAAGGACCAACGTCCGCACGCTCTGTCGGTAGAGGGACGTCAGCGCAGTGCGCTGCTGGAGGGTCTCGACCGAGATCTTTGATGCGCTGTCCCTGCTAACGCGTTCCACCAGGCCCTGGAAGAGCGTCCAGGCCTGCCTCGACTTGGAGCCTTGGTCTGACGTCGAGGGGACGCCAAGACCGTACCGGAAGATCTGAGCGAGGGTCATGTAGAGCACGTCCCAGTATCCCTTCCTGGCTGCCAGCAGAGATGCCTTTTGCAGCATCTCGAGGTCGTCGCCGGCGGTGTCGAGGAGGAGCGCGAAGAGCTTGCGGAACTTGAAGGAGTTTTGCTCGTTCTGCTTGCGGAAATAAGGCTTGAGGGGCTTGTGGCGGCTCGTGGCGACGCGCAATGCAGGCGATATGGCCATCCACTGGAGTGCCTCGTTGCGGCGAGCGTTGCGCACCGACCAGATCGCTGCAGCGAGGTACTCGGGGATGTGCTGGTCCATGGGCGTTTCGAGCATGCGGAGCTCGCCGAGGACCTGGGCGGCCGATTGAAACTCGCGCTGGCGGATGAGGCGGCGCAGCAGGGCGGCTTCCGGGGTGAGATCGCGGGTTGAGAGGCGGATGCTAGCGACGGGCCTGCCGCGCCTCTGCTTGTCGGCGACAGTGACTTGGGCTTGTGGTTCTGTCTTGTACGACGGCGCCTCGACTTTTTCGAAGAGCGAGTAGTCGACGCCTCTTGGATCGAGCTCGTTGTTGGAGCCCGGAAGTGGACCGGCGGGATGGCGTGTCGAGTAAGGCGAGGAGATCATGGACCACGAGCTCTCTGGACGATGCAGAGCAAAGGGAGACGTGGTCGCTGCCGTGGCAAAGCGCCGGCTACGTCCCACTAGGCCCGCCTCGGCCCCACCGACGCGGTCAGCATCGCAGGACTGGCCGACCGTGGGCGTGAGCGGCGAGACGATCGGGCGGACCGCAGGCCGAGGGCTTGGCGACAATCCCGTTGGCCAGGGCGACGAGCCTCTGCAGACATCGCGCGCCGAACGAGCCGCCGCACGCATCGCTTCACCGGCGCTGCACTCGAATCGTGAGTGGGACCTTGGACGGTCGACCGGCGCAGTTGACGAGAGGCGAGCCGGGGTGAGATTGCAGGGTTCTGGCTCAGGTGGACGTTGCCATGCTCTCTGGGCGGAAAAAGGTGGCGCTTGCAGGGTAGCGGACGACTGGAAAGATGGTGGCCGACGGCAGAGTAGCGCCCGAGGCCGAAACAAAGAGGAAAGCAGCCTGCCTAGCCCACCTCCGAAACCTCGGCCTGCCTGCCGGCTTCTTCCAAAGTGCGCCCTTGGGCCCCAATCTGCCAAATCCGAAACCCGACGAGGGCGAGCCATGCCCGGTTTCCGTGACTGTGCCGCTGCCAGCAAACGCACCCGCACCGGCACCGGCACCCACGCCTGCACACGCACGGCCCGTCTCGCCCCCTCGACCTGGCCAGCACACCTGCCAGCCAGCTGCCACGACAGCTTGCAGCGGCCCAGAGGTCGTTGGATGCATGGCAGAGCCTGGCCAGGCCCTTCGTAGACCTTCTCGATTCCCTCGTCAATTGACCCTCGCGGGCCATCAACCCCCACCGTACCTCAGCTTCTTCGCCTGCTGACCACCAGTGTGTCACACTGCATTTAAACCTCGTGCCTGCCCACTTGGCGCCTTTCTCCCTCTCTCCGAACACCCTGACCGAGAGCCCCGCATCGGACACCCTTCCCTCTTCGAGACCTCGGGTTCACTTTTCATCGCCACCGCCACCGCCAACGCCACCGCCACCATGGCGAGCTACTCTCGTCCCAGCCCGCCAAGGCCGGGTGCGCTCGTGCGCCTATCGCTCTCGCTGGTGCTGCTTTGCCTCGCCACCCTCCCCGCCCTCACCGATGCCGCCCTCTTCAGCCCCAACACCAAGGTCACGATGCTCACCGGCTCCAACTTTAAGCGAGAGGTGCTCGACATCGAGAAGCCCACCATGGTCGCCTTCACCGCACCCTGGTGCGGACACTGCCAGCGCCTCGTCCCAGAGTACGAAAAGGCGGCCAAGCAGCTCGACGGCGTCGTCAAGCTCGCCAACATCGACTGCGACGATGACAAGAACAAGCCCCTGTGCGGCCAGTACGGCATCCAGGGCTTCCCCACGCTCAAGGTCTTCCCGCCCACGAAAAAGCGGCTGCCCCGCGACTACCAGGGCCCGCGCACCGCAAAGGACATCGCCGCTCACCTCGTCGATACGCTCCCCATGGGCGCAAAGAAGCTGAGGGCCGAGGAGCTCCAGTCATACTGCGAAAAGGAGCCCGACAGGCCAAAGGTGCTCCTCTTCTCGACCAAGCCCACCTCGTCCGCGCTCTACAAGTCGCTTGCGCTCGACTTCCGCACATCAATCTCGTTCGCCTTCCTCCGCGGCGACCAGCCCGCCGCACGAGCGGCTTCGAGGGCGCATCTGGGCGTCAGCATCGACGAGGGGGAGCTTCCCGTGCTCCTCGTCGTCCCAAGCCGCGCCGAAGGATCCAGCCTGCTCGAGTCCAAGCCCAAGAGGTATGACGGCCCGCTCAAGTACCACGAGCTGCACAGGTGGCTTCTCGACAACGTCCCCGAGGCTGCCAGCAAGAAGCCCTCGGGCGCGGCCAAGAAGGCGACAGCAAAGGCGACGGCCAAGGTCAAGGCCAAGGCCAAGGATGCCGCCAAGAAGAAGGCGGATGCGGACAGGAAGAAAAAGCAGCAGAAGGGCAGCGCCGGCGATGTAGGAGAGGAAAAGCTGCCCCGAGGAGCGCAGTATGAGTGGCGCGCCGAAAACGAGCCGGACTCCAAGGAGCGCAAGGAGAAGCTCGACGAGATCGCCGCGATGCTGGGCAAAGCGGCTCAGCGCACCAAGGACGAGGCAGGGCGAGCCGCCGAGGCCGCCGGTAGCGCCTATGAGTCGGTCAAGCAGAAGGTGCTCGATTCGTCCAGCAGCGATGCGGGCGCCGAGTACGCCGACAGCGCGCCTGCCGGGTCCTCGTCTTCATCGCACCGCGGTCATTCGGACAGCGAAGGTAGCGAGAGGCACAGCTCCTCGTCGTGGTCCTCGTCGTCTTCGTACTCGTCCGTCACCGACGAGGACGGCAAGACGACCGAGGACACTGAGGCGTCGTACCGCTCGTCGTCGTCCGAGGACCCCAAGGAGCACTCGTACCGCGTCTCTTCGCACCGCGAGGCGCCGTCTGAGGCGGAGCGGGCGTCGCTGCGCGAGCAGCTGACCAAGTGGCTCGACGGCCAAAAGGTCGACTGGTCGTCGCAGTACGCCGACCAGTTTGACAAGGCGGCGGCGGCGGCAAAGGAGCTCATGGAAAAGGACCCGGAAGAGGCGCGCAAGGTGGCTGTGCGGGGCGAAGAGTTTCTGCTGTCGCACCTCGAGACTGACCTGGCGATGATGGAAAAGGCGCGGGCCAATGGCGTCGAGGACGAGAGCATCAGCGACGAAAAGATTGAGCAGGTGCGCAGGATGGTCGGGGAGCTCGAGAAGCGCGTTGCTGAGCGGACCAAGGAGGAGGAGGAGGGGCAGCAGCAGCAGTCGGGCCACGACGAGCTTTGAGGTCGCTGCGTGCGCGGCCAAGGCGCTGGGTAGCGATGTTAGCATGCATACGGATTAGGATGCGGCCTGCTCAACGACGCCCGTGATGTGCTTTGTGGTCGGCGAGCATCTGCGACGATTTGATCGCACCTGTTGAGGCGAGAACGGGGTCGGTGTGTGACGCGAGACCGGGCCTGGCATGCCACGCCCGAACCCACGCGTGGACGAGATGGCCTCGCGGTCGGGGATTCGGCACGATCTTACCTTTGTACGGCACAAGGTTTCTTGTCCCCGAGCTTCGGACGAAGTCAATATAATGCGCCTCGCGAGGATCGTGGCGCTCGTGGCACAGGATTCGACGTCTTGGTCCAGATATGGCGGGCGAATGGCGGGCGAAGGGCAGATCGAGTGGCGTCGCCGATTGCCCGAGAAGCGGCCCGAGGAGGTTGCCCTGGGCGCAGCAGCCTCGCCACTCTGATCTTCTGCTACATACGCGGCCGCCGCGAGCAAGCAAGCAAAGCCGATCGGGGCTTTGGACGTGGGGCCCTTTGCTCCTTGCAGCTGGGTCGCGCTGTGCCGGCCTCGATGGCCGAGGCTCGAGATGGACGTGACCGAGCTCCAAATCCGAATCTCGAATTCCACCCGCAGGCGGCCAGGGCCAGGCCAGGGCCAGGGGCAACGCGGAGCGCGAGAGCAACACCTGAACCTCGCTCGCCGGGCCTGGCCTGCCAGTCCCGGCTGCCTCTGCCTGTGGAGCGCGCGGCGCGCGTCTCTCGGGGAAGCCTGCCCCAGACCACAGAGAGCCGCCGTACCGCCATGGCTTGTCCCGTTGGCCGGCAGGCAGACGGGCCCAGGGCCCAGGGCCCAGGTCCCAGATCCCAAGGCCGGGCGCCCGCCAGAAAAAATTGCGGCCAGGCCAACCAACACACGCCCTGCCTGCCTGGCCAGGGGACCTCAGCTCAGGCCAAGCCGGAGAGCGCGCGCCAGAGGAGGATCAGGCTAGGCAGGCCCCGCCTGGCCAGGACAGGTCCGCCTGGCCAGGAGGCAGAGGCAGGTGAGCGCGGGGGTGTTACTCTCCCTCTCTCTCTCCGCTGCTCGTTGCCTTTGCTCGCTGCTGCACCCCTCCTCGGTCAAGACCACCACCGCTCCTCCCCTCGACTCGCTTCGTCTTCGCGACCCGACTAGCACCTCCATCGACGCTCCCTCAAGACTCCGTCCGACACCAAGCAGCTGGCTCTTTCTCGCAGCCCCTTCTTCGACCATCCCCCAGCCACAGCGACACCGCTAATCGACCTCTGCGCCCATCACCAAGCAACGCCTTGCCGCACGCCTCGCTTTCATACCGATCTATCACGACAGTTCCCGTCCGCTCCGCCTCTGCATCGTAAACTTGCGACCCCGACTTGCATCCAGAGAGACGCTCGCAACGCTCTGCACGCCCTGTTTGGCCAAAGCCGACGCTCGGAACATCGACTGCTAGCCCGACGAAGCTCCCACCTCTTCCACCGCAACGCCACTCGGATCACTTGTCACTAGCGCAGGGCATTGACGATGGACAACTACCAGAAGATTGAAAAGGTTGGCGAAGGTGGGTCAGAGATCTCGGAACGGCCGGCTCCTGACGAACGCGCGTTGGTTCTCGGGCTGTAGGACTGACCGCATATTCGTGCTTCACCCGACATACAGGCACGTACGGTGTCGTATACAAGGCAAAGGACCTCAACCCCGGTGCCAATGGGCGCATCGTTGCGCTCAAAAAGATCAGGCTCGAGGCGGAAGACGAGGGGGTACCGTCGACGGCCATCAGGGAAATTTCGCTGCTCAAGGAACTCAGAGATGACAACATTGTCAGGTGAGTCCCGACGATACGGTCCTAAGGCAATGCTCGGGGTGCTCGGCGTCGCGCTGCCAGGCGGCGGTGCAGGCTGGCTGACTTCGGCTACCGCGCCTTGCCTTTCTCGCATCGCCAGGCTCTTTGACATTGTCCACCAGGAGAGCAAGCTGTACCTCGTCTTTGAGTTCCTCGACCTCGATCTGAGAAAGTACATGGACGCCGTTCCGGCCGACTCCAACGAGGGCATGGGCCCCGAGATTGTCAGGGTAGGTGCAGGGCCACAGCCACGGATCGGATCGGATCGGCCAGCCTGGTTCGCCGAGCTGACACCGGACCCTTCTTCCCCGAACCTGCCCCTCCCGTCTCTGGATCCCATCCGGCCGCGCTTCTACAGAAATTCACCTACCAGCTGATCCGCGGCATCTACTACTGCCACGCGCACCGGATCCTGCACAGAGACCTCAAGCCGCAGAACCTGCTGATTGACAAGGAAGGCAACCTGAAGCTCGCCGACTTCGGACTGGCGAGGGCGTTTGGCATCCCGCTTCGGACATATACGCACGAGGTGGTGACGCTGTGGTACCGGGCGCCCGAGGTCCTGCTCGGCTCGCGGCACTACAGCACGGCGATCGACATGTGGTCCGTCGGCTGTATCTTCGCAGAAATGGCCATGAGGAGTCCGCTCTTCCCTGGCGACTCTGAGATCGACGAGATCTTCAAAATCTTCAGGTGAGTGCGGAACGGCCTGCATCGGCTCCACGAGCGGATGCAGCAGCGGCAGCATGGCAGGGTCTAACATGCTCTCCGGCGCCTCTTATCGTCCGTCACTTCTGCGCAGGACGCTGGGCACACCTACGGACGAGGCGTGGCCTGGGGTCCGGTCGCTGCCAGACTACAAGACATCGTTCCCGCAATGGAAGGGCGTTCCGCTGGAGCAAGCGGTGTCGAAGCTGGACCCCAACGGCTTGGACCTGCTATCCGGCATGCTGGTCTACGATCCCGCCGGCAGGGTGTCGGCCAAGAGGAGTCTGAGCCACCCTTACTTCAGCAGCCTCCTGGCCTGAGCCGCGTGGCGGGGAGCGGATCGCGATGGGCCTCCCGCAAACAGCTGCGGCCCAGGAGCGCCTCCTTGAGCACGGCCGCGGTAGCCTGGCCAGTCGACTTGCCTCAAGAGAACGGCATGATTCCGTTTTGTAGGCACACGCAGCGTGGGGCTCGGATGTCTCAGAGATGGCAATTTGTCCTACAGCGCGAAGAGCATGGCCGCGACGAGCGAGCCCGTTTGTCCCAGAGCCTCGAGAGGCATTTTGCGATGATGATGTGAAGTTCGGCGAGCCGCAATACCTTGCGAGAAGATTGGTCGGATAGACGAGCGGTCAAGGCTGAGCCACGCAGGGCAAGTTGCGTGTGTGAGGAAGGCGGTAGGCGAGACCGGACACGCTATCCCCAAGGGTGGGAGAGCTGTTGGACCACGAATCTACGTTTACCGGAAGACGGGCACCGGGCACCCGCACGGCCAGAGAGAGTCGGCCAGGGTCTCCGCTTGACGCGCTCCTCCTCTCCTAGCGCTTTCTGTTCCTTCCACTCTGTCCATGTAGCATCGCCTCCGCCTCCGCCTCCGCCTCCGCCTCCGCATCCTTATCCACATCCCTCGAACCCTGCCCATCTTGATCCGCTTCTTGCGGCAGTCTGCTCGACGTGGAAGCGCTTCCACCGCTGTGCGTCGTCAACATGGTGCAAGACGATGCCAAGGCGGCCTTGGAGGTAGAGTACGAGCGGCAGCGCGAGGACAACATCAGGGCCAACATCGGTGGGTCCTTGACGCCTTTGCCTCAAGCCTCTCCCTTTTGGCAGAAGTGTCCTGCTCTCCATATCCGTTCTGACGCTCACCGACGTACTGCTCGCCCCTCCCCGCACAGAGCTGATGAAATCGCTCGGCCTCTACCACGACGATGTGGCCCTCGCCAAGAAGCCCGCCTCCGCATCTTCACCCTCGAAGCGCAAGCGGGACGGCCCCGACGAGCCCTTCACCCCGCTCTCCTCCAATGCCGCTCTCCGGACCCGTCTCACTCGATCGGCTTCGCGCAATTCGGTCACCGCGACGACGTCCGAGTCGTTTTCGTCGCCGTCGTCCTCGGCGAAGCTCACTCCGCGATCCGCCCTGCGACGTTCCACCCGCGTAAGGTCGAGCACGCCTTCAGCGATACCGCGGACCTTGCGACGCCACTCGCTACCCCTCTCTTCCTTTATCATGGGCGACGATGACGACGAGGACGATCACCGACAGCGCAAGGCCGACAAGCTCGGTCGACGGATCCACTCTCCCAAACGTTTCGGTCACATACCCGGCATCAAGATCGGAACCGTCTGGGAAAAGAGAATGCACTGCTCCACCGATGCCGTCCACGCGCCCACCGTGGCCGGTATCAGCGGGAACCCAGAGGTCGGATGCTGGAGCGTATGTCTGAGCGGCGGGTACGAAGACGATTTTGACAGCGGTAAGTTGCCCCGTCCTCCTTGCCGCCTCTGCCTGCGTTCGCTACCGGCGACCAGATCGCCGACCCGGTAAGTACTGAATCTTCGCCGTGCTTGCTTCTGCCATCACAGGACACTACTTCCAGTACACGGGTTCCGGCGGCCGAGACCTGAAGGGGACGAAGGAGAACCCAAAGAACCTCCGCACCGCACCCCAGAGCAAGGATCAGTCCTGGACCGACAACACGTACAATGCGGCGCTCTACAAGTCTAGTCAGACTGGCAAGCCGATCCGCGTCATCCGCGGGTACAAGGCCAACAACCGCTACGCCCCCGATGCCGGCTACGTCTACAGCGGGCTCTACGTCTGCGAGGTGAGCATCGGTACCCGTGAACCCCAAACCCACATTCGACGGCAGCGCACAGGACGGAAGTGCTGACCGAAGCGAACTGCGACACTTCCGTCCTCTGCGGCGTCTCGGACGAGCAGAAGGCATGGATGACCACCGGCCGAGCCGGCTTCAAAGTGTGCAAGTTTGCCTTCCGCAGGCTCAAGGATCAAGACCCACTCCCAGTCTTCAGCCGCGACCTCATGCAACCCGAGCCCAAGCCCAAGCCCAAGCCCGACTCCTCGTCTGTGGCATCGTCCGCGCGATCGTCCGCGTCGGCCACGACGACTTCTGCTTCCTCCGAGTCCACGCCGACGTCTGCGGCGCGGCAGACGCGCTCGGCAGCGTCCAAGTCGGTCAGGCCTCGTTCCGGTGTCCCTGACGGCGTCGTCAGCCCGACACCAGGCAAGCGGCTCACAGAATCGCCGGCGATCACCACAGGGCTGCGTCGGTCAAGGCGAAGCATCGCCGGGCGCGCCGTATGAGCGGAGGTTAGATGGCGGGGAGCGAGTGTGTCGACGCTTCTGGTCCGGCGAGCAGCCCTGCGCGATCTGGCAGTTCGGTTCCCTCTTTCGCGGAAGAAGCGACGCCGGTCGCGCTCGTTCGGAGCTATATAGCAGCCGCCCACATCTCGACCACGAACAAGACTGGCGGCCGTTGAACCTTTTCGATTGTCTCGAGCTCAGCCATCATCGCCGATGTCGGTCGTCCCAGGGCCGGCTCCAGCCGCTACCCCTCCGTCACCGCTCGCCGTTCTTGACGGCGACGGCCCACCCAATCCACTGCCGGCGCCTTTGCCCGACGGCTTGGTCTCCGCGCCCGGCGACGCCCCTCCACTTCCTGCTGTTTTGGATGGCGCTGCCGCCGATGGTGCGGAGATCAACGTGGTCGGCGAGATGGTTGTTCCGCCGCCTGTTGCCGGGCTTGGATCCTTGGCGTCCTTTGGAGTGTTCCCTGCCGAGCTCGGCCCTGCTGCGCCGCTGCCGCCGCCATTGGCCGTTGAAATCTTACCGATGTACCAGCTAGGCACCCAGCCGCGAGCGTGAGGGTCGCCCTCCTGCACACAGTACGACCAGTGATTGTAGCGCTTGAATACCCGCAGTCGATCGCCCTTGTTGAACTCTAGACCGTCGTCCGCGCTGTAGTCCATGAGCATGACGCCGAGGGTGCTGGTGCTGGTGATGTAGGTCGGGGGGATTGAGGCCGTGGCCGACGCGCTGACAGTGCCCCCCGACGGGCCTCCACCCGGCGTCGTCGTCGTGGCCGCCGCTAAGGTTGCCACGGTGGGCGTGCTTGGACCAGAGTTGGCAAAGGAGCTCGATTGATCCTGTGTTGCCGCCGTCGCCAAGGTTCCCGGCTCGACGATCTGAGACAACGGTCTGCTGGTCTCGAGAAGGCAGCCGGCAGGCACCCATCCGGACGAGATCTCGGCCTGGTAGGCGGCGTTGGGGTTCGCATCGTCCGTCTCGCTGGATGGCACGCTGTAGACGACGTCACCGGCGCCCGTCCCCTTGCTGTCCCGCTGCACCACCCACCAGCCTTTGGCCTTATTCCGCACAATGAAGATATCGCCAACGCCGACGTCGAACTCGTCGCCGCGCTCCGAGAGGTACGGGTAGATTGCGACGGCATAGGTGCGCGAGGCTTTCGTCGATGCCGGCAGCTCAGCGGCGGGTCCGGTCTCGACGGGTGCAGCGAGATGGGCAATGTTGGCCCCAGAGGGCGGAGCACCGTCGATGACTCGTCTCTTGTCGCTCCGACCGCCGGCGGACGCTTTGACCGTCGACGAGGTGGTCGTCTGGCTCTTCTTGGACTCTGCTTTTGCATTGGCAATGGCGATGGGCGACTTTACGTCGCGAATGTGTCGCAGCATGAAGACTGGGCTCTGCTTATTCTCCTTCAGCTTTTGGAAGAGCAACAGCGGCTTCTCGTCATAGCTGAGGCATCGCTCTATTTGTTTGGGGTGTCGAGGAAGGATGCATTAGGCAGCGAGCGCCATCGGACAGGGATCAGTCATACTGCCGCGGAGAGAACAAAGTCGGACCCGCTGATGCAACGCACCTGTGCTTCCATAGCAGATGAAGAGCGCGTAGAGCCTCCAATCGTCGACGATCTTGTATTTCTTAAGCGCAGCTGGCAGGACCTTGTGGCACGGATCGTCGAGGGTGACCCGGAATGACTTGTACGGGTTGATGTCGGATGAAGTGGAGGCCGACGGGTGGCCATTGCTGGAAACAGAAGGGCCGCTGTCTGTGTTTGTCTTTGACGACGACGATGACGAGGCGGGTGCGGTCGGATTGACCCGATCGAGCTTTGACGATGCATCTGTAGCTGGCGTCGAATGGATCGCTCCTGTCGCCGCTGCCGTTGCCGTGGCGGATGACGAGCCCGCCTGCTGGACGGGACTGATGTTGCGTGCCTGTGCGAGCGCGTTGTTGCTGGCGCTGCGCGAGAGGTTGCCCGAGGGGGAGGGCTGCGCCTGGCGCCGTGTAGGGCTCTGGATGGCGGAGGCGGAAGATCCGTGGCCGTGTGCGGGGGTCGCTGTGGTGGGCGTAGCCGAAGGCGTCGAGTGGGTCGGGGAGAGCTCGACGCTGGCCGAGGAGAGGGACGGCAACGACGTTGAAGCATGCATGCCCGCTGCCACGGTAGTTGGCGTGTTGGGGACCGCGGCACTAGGTCCCGTTGCAGACCCAAGCGCGTCGTTGCTGCGATGGTACATACCGGCGTGACCCGCTGGCTTGAAGCCCAGAAGCGGACCGACTGAAGCGTTGCCGGACGCCTGACCTTCGTCAAAATGCTGCTGACCATATGAGCCCTGCGTGTACGTGGCGGCGCCAGGACGGTGGCCGAGCGAGGTGGCGAAGCCGGACCGCGTCGGAGAGACGATGCCGGAAGAGTTGCGAGCGGTCGGCGAGTCGATGGCATGGCTGCTGGCCGAGGTGGCCAGGTCCGGCTGCGACCCAAAGGCTGACAGGGAGTGAGTACTGCTTTCCGAGGAGGTGTGCGAGTGACCGCCTGTCTCTCCTGGCCGTGTTGACCCGGACACGACCGAGATTGCCATTTCAGAGGTGAGCGTCTGCCATGGAGCAGTGGGAATGGTCAAGGCGGACAGATTGTTCAGCCAAAGGAGCATCGAGCCATGACATCCCTCACCTCGCGGCTTTTGCATGTGCCGTGATCGGACTCACCTTGACGCCGACGTGCTTGCACACGCTGGCAAAGTCTTGCTGGAAGCGCGAGAGGTAGTCGGCCAGCCTGAATATCTGACTCTCGAGGGTGCGGATGCGGTCGTCGCGCTGTCTCAGCAGGGACACGAGGTGGGGCGATGTGGCCGTGGCGGGATAACCATCGTGGACCTCGGAGGACTTGGGTATCCAGTCGCCCTCCTGAATGGGGATGGCAAACTGCAGCTTGAGGCGGTAGATGGCCGAGAGGAGAGAGAGCCGTTGTCCGACGGTGGCGACGCCAATGTCCCGCAATGCATCGTCGTCGAGCAAGATGAGGACGTCGCCAGTAATGCCGTTGCCCTTGAAGTCCTTTGCAAACTTGGCGAGGCCGATGGTGCTGAGCCAGTCGGCCACCTGCGATTCGGACCAGTGGTTTACGTGCACGGTGGGCGAGGCGACTGGGGTGCCGCTCATCCTGCCGGAGTGGTGAAGCTCTAGCTCAGAGCAGTGTTGCAGGTCGGGTGGCCGCGCGAAGTGTCGAGATGGGAGCGCATGCAACAGGCTAGAAGCGTCGGATGCGTGAGAAGTGGCCTGTCAAGACGAAATCGGCGCTTGCCTTGGGTGCTGTCGAGGGGGGCGTCGGACTGGCCCCTGCCTCGCGACGACAGCGGTTCCCGCCGCGGGTGATGTCGAAGCTACAGGGGCGCTAGCCGCTTCCACTCGCAGAGAGCAAGCGGGCAGCCAGGTTGATGGTAAGCTGGACGGGCTGTCCGGCCCCGAGCTGGAATCAAAGCCCGTCAGAGGCTGATGAAGATTGCGGGTTTCCAAGGAAGCGATGTATGCTGAGGCAGGGCGAAGAGAGGACAAAATGCGGGCGTTTGTGGGCAGATGAGCGCGAGAAGCAGCTACGGGCAGCTGTGTCTGGAGAAGAGTGTTGGCCTTCGTCCCGAATGACTCGCTCGAATCGGGCGCGGTGGCGGAGCGATGCCGATGCGAGCGCTGGGCAAGAGGGAGCAAGGGTGGGCAGATAACGACGAAGTGTGCGTTGTAGTGAAGCCGAGGAGGGCGGTAGGGCGGATGGTAGAGCAGACGGCAAGGGACGTACAGGTGGGGATGGGGATGGGGATGGGGATGGGGATGGGGATGGGGATGGGGATGGGGATGGGGATGGGGATGGGGATGGGGATGGTGATTGGGATTGTGATTAGGATGGAGATGGAGGCTGAGATGGAGATGGAGATGGAGATGGAGATGGAGATGGAGTTGGGGATGGGGTCGGGGATGGCCAACCACATCCAGCGCAGGGTGCTGTAGTGCTCGCAGCGCCCAGCACGGGCCGACGACTTGGCCTGCCACCCTGCCCAAAACCCTCTCGACTCGCGGCGGCCGCCTGCGAGTTGGCCGAGTCCGATTCCAATCCTTGGGACTGTACCCGTACTCCGTCACCCTGGAAATCGCATTCTGCGCCCCACCGTCCGCCCAGCAACGCCACCGCCCCAGCCAGCCCATCCATCGCCCAATGGCCGAGTCTCCGAGTAGAGCCGCATCATGTGCTGGAAAGCAATCGGAACGCGGTATAGGATCAACGCTGAGGCTCACTGCTGCAGCGTGGCGCCCACAGCGTCGTGGCAACGGCGGGCCTCGCCTCCTCGCTCCAACTAGAGAGGGAAAAAACAAACTGGCCAGGACCGACGCCCACCAAGTGGCAAAAATGCATTGACGGGGACTCGAACCCCGGTCGAGTCGAATCGGTTGATCGCCTGATGGCAGACGATGAGTGGCAACGACTCATGATACCCCTACACTATCAATGCTGGTGGTGTGCCGATTTAAACTTAAAAAATATCACATATAGACAAACCCTTGCAGCCAGGCAACCGGCATGCGCCAGGGTCCAGCAGGTGTTGGTTGACGCCGCATTGGCTTGCGCGGGCGACCAACCCTGCCTAACCTTCCAGCGCTGCTGGGCCAACCTCACTTTGCTTCCCACCCTCACCTGCACACACTACTACCCTGCCGAAATCCTTCCATTGGTCATCGTTGGCCTCAACCTGGTAGCGTACCTCGTCCCTTGACCCGGATACCAGCCCATCTCTGTGCCCCTGCGTCCGCCTCGATCCCTCGCGCGCCGCAACAATCCACGCACGCATGCATCCCGGCCTCCGACTCGCTCGCGAGCCAACCCGCTCCTGAACCCACCGCGCCCCGCCACCGCAGTAGCGAGCGAGCGACATCTGCCCCCTTTCTCTCACACGTTCGCCTCCTCTTCACGAACCGCAACCATTACAGCCACGCTTAACGACCCTGGTCGAGGCAGACCGCTGCAACCCGAGTGCGTTCCCAGCCAGCACGGCCATGACCCTCGACATCGGCACCCAGCATCGCGACGCCTCCGTATCTGGACCTTCGTCCGACCTTTCCCCTTCACCGCCATCTTCACCCGGCCTGGTCTCAACGCACGCAGCAGCGGTTAGCCCGGCACCTGCAAGGAAGCCCACAACCGCATCCAACGCAGCCAGCACCTCGGCCATCCTCTCCTGGTCCGATGAAAAGGTAAAGTCGTGCTCCAGCCTGCGCGCTCGCAAGGACCTTCGCAGGAATCTCGAGGTCGATGTCCTCCAAAACATCCAGAAGGCCCTTCGCACCTCTCCCAACCCGTTCTTCAACGACCCTGGAGCTGCGGCGCAGGAGGCGTTGCGTCAGGCCCAGATTTACAAGGCCTGGATCCAAGATCAGGAGGGCAGCTCACTCGAGGTCGCCATCGTCAATGACCACCCTCAGGGTCCGGCCGATGGCTGCCCTCCGTACGACTTTGTCTGGGTCAACGGCTACGTCCACGACGACACCATACCACCGAGCGATCCCAGCGAGCTCCAAGGCTGCGACTGCGAAGACGATGCCTGCAACCCGGCCACTTGCAAGTGCTTTCAGAAGGCGGTCCGTTTCGATACTCTCAACATCTACAAGGAATCCAAGCAGTTGTGAGTGGGCCCGGCTTGTATTCGTGCCGTCCCGTGGCATCTTCACGACGTGGCCAGTTGAGCCTCCCTGTCCCTCGTCGCATCGCTGACCTCCTCGTCCCTCTAACCACTCAACCTGTTCCGGGGCGTTCACGTCTCTGCGCTCTTCCTACAACACAGCGCCTACAACGCCGACGGCACGCTGCAGGACATGATGGTGCCCACCTACCCGATCTTCGAATGTAACAGCAAGTGCGGCTGCTCGTCTGCTTGCACCAACCGCGTCGTCCAGAAGGGACGCCGCGTCGAGATCGAGTTCTTCAAGCATCAGCACTACGGATGGGGTGTGCGCGCCCGGCACCGTATAAAGAGGCACACCTTCATCGGCATCTACAGCGGCGAACTCGTCAGCGACGCCGAGGCGGATCGTCGCGCCATCGTTTACGAAGACGTCGGCAGCACCTACCACTTCACCATTGATCCCCATCCGATCAAGCTCGAGACGATGCGCAAGCGGCTGGCCAGCTCACCCGAAGGTCGCACGATGACCGAGGAGCAATTGATGCAGCGTGTCAACGACTGGACCCGACTCATGGACCTCTACCAGGCGCACAGGGAACACAAAGTGACGGCCAAACAGCTCAAAGAGTTCAACGACCGTCAGATTGTCGAAGCAAAGAGGAAAGGCGAGTGGAGCCGCAGGTGGCAAGCCGAGCTCGAGGCCGAGCTTGCCGAATGGGAGGCCCGATACCGAGAAGAGCCGGACAACTACCTTAGCCTCGAGCCCGAGGACCAGGCGAGGGCGGAGGATCTCAGCCTCTTCTACGAGGATCAGCAAGAGGCAAACGAGCTCACCGTCGACGGTGCGCTCCACGGCAACTTCACCAGGTTCTTCAACCACAGCTGCGACCCTAACCTCGCCACCTGGCCGGTCTGGATCGAGGAAGGCAGCATCTGGAGGCCCTTTTTCTGCTTTTTCGCCCTGCGCAACATCGAGGCCGGCGACGAGCTCAACTTCTCTTACACCTCCGCGGAAGAGGTCGACGACATGGTCAAGAGGCTCAACCAAATCCAGGTCGAGCAGGGCACCAAGCCCGGCACCAAGAGGATGAAGTGCCTCTGCGGCGCGTCCAACTGCCGAGGCTTCGTGTTTGGCTGATGCTTGGGCCCGTCGTCGAATAGCCGTATACCGATGCCGCCTCGAGCAAAGCTTACAAGCAGCGCACGAGTGTCATCCCGCAGGCCGCCGTGTTCCAGGAGCAAAAGAGGGGCAAAAACACACGTCGAAACACGACCATCGCGAGATCCCCGCAGACGCACCGCGAGCAACATATAACCTCGTCGCGACGGTCAACGAGACCGCGCCCGCGCACCATGAGCGACAAGAGAGTCCTATCCGCCCCCTTGGGCGCCAGCCGAGATGGCCAACGCACCCCACCTGCCCATTGCATCTGCGGCCGCAGTCGCCCCGACGAGATCCAAGCCGTGGCAGATACCCAAAGAGGTGACGCGCCCGACATTGTCACGAGATGGTCACCGAATTTTTGCACACTTCCAACGAGCCTAAAAATGCTGATCTGATGACGATGAGGGGAGTTGCGGGCGAGAAAGAGGCTCGGTCGGTGCTGCTGTGACAAATGATACGGAGGAACAACCCGACGAGTCGAGTCGTAGAGAACGCGAATCGCGTCTCCAGGGATTGGACCGGAGATCTCGAGGGGTAGGGGGAACTTGGGGGGAGGGTGGATGCGGCGGGGGAACCGATACCCGCCTGAGGAGCGCACGCCGTCAACAAGATGGGTCGAGCTCGCTTTTTGTCAGACCGTGCCCGCCGCGAGAGAATCGAGATGGGCCAGAACGAGCGGGAGAAGGCTGTTTTGCCTGCAAATCGTCACGACTTCCTCGCCCGCGAGCTCCTTCTTCTCGGCCGCGTCCTTGTTGGCCGCAGCTTCCGGCGCTTTGGCCATCGTCGCTTGGCGCTTGTCGCCTGGTACCGGGGCAGAGGAGAGCGACGCAGCGCCTTTTGTGTGCCCGGCGCCGGGACCCTTGGGCGCCGAGGATTCTGCGGCCGCCGGCTCGCCGTGCTTGCCTTGTGTCGCGCTTGCCTTCGAAGAGGCGATGAGGAGGTCGCGCTCGTGCTGTCCGACGGCGCCGCCAGCGTAATAGTGACGGCTTGTCGATGCTTGTCGGTCCAACAGAGGTGCGGCTGAGAGCATGGCCGGGTGCCGCGATGTAGTGAGCGTGGGAACGTGGACGGTTGCTGAGCGGCTTAGGCCAGGACCTCGCTCGAATCCTGCCGCGTCGTCGCTGGCGACCAGCGTTTCCCAAAGCACTTGCAAAGCAATGGCATCTGCCGCACGGCGGCTCCGCGCGCTGAGTGGCATAGACGGGTTCGGACGCTCTTCCTGCTCGCCGAAGCGACCGGCACTAATCCCGAGCCCGTATCCGAGGTCGGCCTGTAGTGTTCTTGAAGACCGCTCGATGGCGCGTGTCCAACCCAGCATTTTGGCCTCGCTCTCGAAACTGAGCATGAAGTGACGCTTCGCGCCGTCGGACTCGTGAGACGTGATGGTGAAGCTGTGCTTCATGAAGGCGCGCTCAATGACGACGGCGAGGCTCCGTGGTAGCGGCACGTCTGCCTCGGCTTGCTCCGCCACGCCTTGCACCTCGAGCTGGCCTGCCCCGGGTAGCTGTACCTCGTTTCCCGCGTAGAGCCGGGCGTTGCGCCCGGCGCGGACGAAAATGACGTGTTTTTGTCCTAGAGACTTGCTCGTCATGGTGAAACTCGCCTCGCACGACTTTCCGAAGGTGAGAATAGGAGGCTCGAATGTCATATCCTGAGCGTAGAGCCGGATCGCCAGATCTGGGTCAGCGGCAGGGATGCACAGAGTGACGGGCTGGGACGGCTGGCCATATGTCAACCTCGACGGAAGCTTGCCGCCCTTGATCCAGATGGTGACTCTGTCCTCATCCGCGGAGAGAGCTTGGGCGATTGGCTCCGACCGAACGCTGAGGTAGATGCGGCCGAGGGTGCGGTCAGACAGAACCGCGCCAGGATCGTGCTGTCGGAAAACCTCGAGGAAGTCAGCCTTGGACAGGTCACCGCATGGCTCGCTGAAAAAGCCAGGAGTGGTCGGCGCCGTCGCAGAGCGCATCTCGGACGCCCCTGACGTCGAGTGCAAAGCGTCGTTCAGCGCCATGATTGCGAAGACGAGATCCGAGGCGAGCTCAAAGGTGAAGCCTGGCTTGACCAACGCCGCGTTGCAGGCTACCCAGTGCCGAGCAAAGTTGACGAGCACGGCCTCGAAGGATTTGACGTCCGGAGGAAAGCGCAGCTCCAGCAATAGGCTCCGAAGGCCCGATTCGATCGAAACCCCGGTGAGGCGGTGTTGAGAAACGTACGCGGCCAACAGGTCTCGGCGGGATGGCGCGGTGAGGTAGGCCGTCAACACGCCCCTGTCGAGTTCAGGAGTCTGATAGAGCAGCTGGCCAATAGATGCGCTGGAGTCATGTAGCTTGGTTCGTGCCAGCAGGGTCCGTACAGCGTCTTCCGGGTCCTTTGCAAAGTGTTCGACAAAAGCCAGCAGCGTCGGATTCTTGGCGCGAGACTTGGCCGGAGAGCGCCTGGAGCTGGCCGTGATGCTGACTTTGACGCGGGCGAGTTCCAAGATGTTCTTGACGGAGAAACTCCACCGCGAGTCTGGCAGGACGGCGGCGCCCTTCAGTTTCGTCGCTTCGCCATCGGGAGCCCTTCCTCCTGGCGGTGCGATGGGCTTGGCGATGACCAAGATGTCGCTGAAGAGGAAGAGGTAGCGGTCCTTGATCGTGGTGGCGCTGATCACCTGGAAGACGGGCTCGTCCAGAAGCAGTTTCCTCGGGGGATCCAGGGACGTGGCGGGGAGGACACCTGGCACAGCCATCGGCGCTCGCGTGTCTGTCAACATGCGGCTGTATCGCCTCGCCATGGCGACGGTCGCTGGAGCCAGACCAGCCGTGGCGCCGGCCGCTGCGGTTGAGACGCCGGCGTCTGCACTGCCGTCCTCGAGGTCTTCGCGAAGCTTGCCCGAGCTGGTGCTCTCTGGAAACGTGCCGAGAGTATGCAGGATGTCCGGACTGCCGCCGGTCGACACAGAGGCGGGCGAATTTTGATTGGCCTCGTGTCTCCATGGGGAGATGATCTGCACCGGACCGCCGACGTGGTGTGGATGCTCAATCTTGAGGGCACGGGCTTCGCGCCCTGATTTGCCTGCTTTGACCGCAGAGTTTGATCGTTTGATGCTTGCCTTCCGAGACCAGAAGCCGTCCTTGGAGCCAGTGCGAGCGTGATTGCCCACAAAAGCGCCGGACGCCTTCCGGCGAAGCGTAGTCAAGAAGCTGCTTGGCTTGTCCGTCTCCGGCTTTTCGCTGCCACTGTCAGGCGCGGGGCTCAGAATGGCCGGCACGGCAATGGGTGTGGCAGATCCGGACGGTTGCAAGTGCGGCTGCGACGATTGCAGATTCGAGTGCGGTTGCGATCGCAATTGAGCAGAGGCCGTTCGGAAACCTTCGTGTAGGGCATGGTCCTGGGTCGAGGCCGGACCCGAATGATTGACGGCTCTGCCGGAGGTGGCCGTGGGGATCAGACCAGGGAACGGTGCCAGCTTGTCATTGGACAGGAGGCTGGTCAGCTGCGGTCCAGAGGTTGCCGGCACGCTGCGCATCGGTGCCGGGATGCTCGTGGCAGCCTGCACGGTCAAGGGTACTCGGACCGCAGTGCGTGCGGAAGCAGCCCGCGACAGGCCAGACGGTGCTTTCAAGGTGCCCCCCGCGTCGAGGGCAGAGATCAGGCTGTCAATGGACGCTTGATGCGAATGCGTCCGGCGAGCTGCCTGTGATGCTGCGCCGCCACCCGGCCGCAACCCGGATCCGGAATCGGCTTCTCTGTTCTGAGAAGAGCTTGCCTCGGACTTCAGGCTCCCCGCAGGATGGTTGGAGCCGGTCTCAGCACCAGTCGGTGTTGCCGCCGCAGAAGCTGCCCATCGGCGCTGGAATGTAGCCTGAACGATAGCCTCTTGAGACGGCGAGGGCGGAAACGGCGATGGCGATGGCTGCCCCGTGTTGGGAAGAGCGGCAGCGCCTTGGCCGCGATCTCTCCGCACAACGGAGGGCACGTGCCCATCCGGCGCGGTATTGAGGTTGTCACGCCATGCCGACGCATTCGGCTCGTCGGCGAGGCGATTCGCCCGCGTTTCTCTTGTCAAGCGACCTAGCTCCGCCGCCATGCGATCGGCCTTGCGAAGGTAATGGTCGTCGAGCTCATTGTCGGACGGGTCCTGCGCCCAATCGCTCGTCTGTGCCTTGACGCGAATGTTGCCACTCTCAGACCTGCCAGAGCTCGTTTGGCCGACGTATTCGGTCTCCGTCTCGATCGTCTGCGCCTGGCTGCCTTCTTCGGGCTCCAAAAAATCTACTTCAGGTACCCGCTCGTGTGCGGACGAGGCTTCATCGTGCGAGGCTCGGCTGTGAAGATCAAAGTCGGTGTCTCGGGCGTATTCGCGCACGAAGCTGGATCCCAGGATGGCGTTCAGACGCTCCGACGGGTTGGCTCGGAGAGACGGCACTGTCAACAGGGTTGAACCTCGGCCCCCGTCGGCCGAAATCGAGCTCGGATCCAAGTCGGTGGCTAGACGCCTTGAATCCATAGCACCGTAGCCTGCGTCCAGACCCGAGTTTGCCGGAGCGATAGAGTCGTAGGCTGGGTCGACAGAGGACGAGGCCCGTCGGCAAACATCGAGCCCATGCGAGTCAGCATGCTGAAGATCCGGGGTTGCCTCCGATGTGGCTGTCCCGGCGTGATTCGGTGCAAGAGACTCACCTGCTCGATCATTGTCTCCAGAGCCATCATCGGCATAGGGCGGCATGTCTCCAGACCCGCGGAAACCGATGCCGGCCAACGCGTCCACGCTTTCCCGTCCAGAAGGGAGGGATACCGAAGAGTCCACGGACAGCGGCCAATCGCCCGAGCCCTGGCCCCGTGACGCGATTGCGGTCCTTTCTCGACCGGGATACGGGTTGGTGTCGTGGTCGAAGAATCGGAACGGGACGTTGATACCACCTGGGCTGATCGTCAGGATGGAGGACTTCCGGATATCTTCCATCTCAAGCTCGTAATTTGGCGACGTGTCGCAGGGGACTGATGCCGGATGCCGGAACGAAGGCTGCGATGGAGGCGTTGACGGCATACCGCCGTCGTTGAGACCAGAGGTCTGGAGTGGTGGCGGTAGAGAGGGGACGGCAGATGTTTGGCCAGCACGGTCCTTGATAGGCGCACGGATCAGCCGTGGGCTGCGAGCCGGCTCGTCCGCTGGCTTCTGAGCAGACGGGGCCTGCGTCGGAGCGATGCCGCCCATCCCCGACAGGGCGGCCCTCGCGTCTGGCCGCTTCACGACGCCGGCGGGGACGCCCGGGCCGCCTTCACTCCGCACGTTTTCGCCGTCCTCGCGTGGGGATCCATAAAGGCCGTAGAAAGCATCATCGTCGGCATCGTGACTGTCGTACGCGCCTTGAGGATCGCTCCCATCGTCGCTGTCATCGCCGCTGTAGGAAGTGTCGGCACCCGCTTCATAACAAGGAGGCGTCCGATCCGTTGACAGGCTGGATCCGCCTGGGGGGGTCCACAACCCTGATGCTGGGGTGAAGGGCAGGGACGGTGCCAGTGTCTGAGAGCCATCCACCGGAAAGAGGATCGTCGAGGGCTGCTGGTTCGAATCAGATGTTGCCGGCAATTGCGGAGATGCATCGAGCCCGCTCCAGGTGCTCGCGATCCCTTCGACGTGACCGGGTGGTGCTGTTGGGATTGCCGTGGAAGCTTCGACCGCATCCGGTCTGCTCGAGTCTGAACGGGCGATCGTCGCCGGCGCCGCCTGTGTACGCCTGGCCAGACCAAAGGGCAATGGAGAGGCTGAAAGCGAGCTCATCGACGACGACGGCTGCGAGTCCTCGACGTCGCTAGCATTCGTTGCGCGTCCCCGTGTGGAAAGCTTGCGAATCATTTCGGTGCGTGCGATCTGCCTTTGTGAGACTGACCGGGTCACGGCGGCCATCTCCAGCGGCGCAACGCTTGCAGCCGGGCCTGCCCCGGGTTCAGGAGACGTCGTTGGTGCTGACGCCGTGCTCGAATCGACCGTCGAGTTTTGCAGCCCGTACGTCTGTTGCCTGACCCTGGATAGTCGATTGGAGTTGGCGCCAGGAACGGCGAGGAAAACACCTTCGACGAAGGCTGCCTTCCTTTGCTTCTCCGCCATGGCGCTGAGCCCTCCGATCGTCCTGCTGCGTCGAAGCGAGGACCTGTCACGGCGAGGCGAGCGGGCTGTTGCTCCATCGCTGACCATGCCCTCGTCGTTGTCGCTCGAACTTTCCGGATGTTTGGCCAGCGTTGGCGAGGGCGTGGCAGCGCCTCGCTCGATCAAGGTGCCCTCCTTGGAATGGTCGTAGAAGCGATCGGTGCTGCTGGTGCCGAGCAGCTTCTCCAATGCATACGCTCGGGCGGCCTGACTGGCGGCGCTAGTACTGGCACTTCGCTGCAGGCCAGCGGCCTCCCTCTCGTGCAGAATGCGAGCGCGTAGCTGTTCGAGCGAAGGCAGCGGAGACCTTGCCGCTGCACGGTCGCGCAGAGCTACCAAGGGAGAGAGTGAGCGCTCGCTGTTGATCTCGGCCGTCGGCGTTTGGAGGTGGTCCGCCGCAGGAGCCACTGCGGAAAATGCGTCGCCCGCTGAAACCGGGGGCGAGTCCAACGGTAGAGCTTCCGGCCTAAAGTCTGCCCCGCGCAGCTGTGCTAAGGCCGTGGGCGGACCTATGTTCCTGGACGGACTGGCGGCGGCAGACCCACCGAGTTGGTGTGACGGGGTCTGAGACGTAGGCGGCTCCGTGGCTATCAGAGGGGTCGAGGCGTCCTTTGGCAGGATCTGCGCCGGAGACGGCCCTCCGCTGCCTGTGGACTGCGGGCCAGGTGGATGGCCACTTGGCGGCTTCGTCCTCATCTCCCTTTGCGAGGCCGCTCTCTTGAGCTTGGCGATGGCATCGGAACGAGCGATGGAGCCGTTGCGAGTCAACGCATCCACATGACGAGGCTGGCCGGCACTCATGGCTGCGTCACTGGACCCCGCCGCGGCGGCCTGCAAACCGGCCGAGGCAAGCATCCTTTCCGAGGGGCGAGAGGCCAAGCTGAACGATGGAATGACCTGGCGGTTGCGTCGCGGCGGAGACTTGCTGGCAGAGGGAGAGCCAGATGAGCCAGCCGGCCGGGGGACTCGTCAAGGCGCGGCCGTGTTGCACCTCTAGAGCATGTTCCGGTTCGCTGTCGGCGTGCAGAAGCTGGACGCGCCAAGAAGAATCAGGGCCGATAGCCGGCTGAATGACGCCCAAGATCTCTTTTGATGGAACGCAGGCGTGTTGGCGCAGAGATTCGAGGCAGCTGGGTGACGTCCAAAGTGAGGGCGGAGCGGTACGAGACCTGAGCCCGGTGCGCCAAGGGGAGAGCCACGATGGTCCAGGACGACGAAGAGCGAAAGAGGAGGCGTCGTGGAGCGAGATTGACGGTCCAGCCCTAGAAGAGGTTGTGGAAAGAGACAGAGAGGGGTGAGGAATGGCGAGCCAAGAAGGGAGGACGTCGATGCTCGTTGGAAAGAAGGAACCCCCTCCTCAACCTGCCTGCGACACATCTGGCAACCCTGAAATGTCCTCGTGTGCTGCCGAGCCGAACACAGCCCTACCGAGTAGTCTTGCTTGCCTTGGGCGACCCCGGCAGCGGCTCGCCCTGGCCGTGCCCCCTCTCGCACGCACGCGGGCGCCGGCCGGCCTCGCGCGTACGTGCTTGCACGCTTTTTCCCCTGCAGGTTGCACCGAAAAGTGGGGTGCCAACCGGCACGACGGGTCCAAGCGTGCATGGGGTCGTTGAGAGAGACCAACACCTGTCCGCCCAGCAGCCCAGCCCGGGAATGCCTCGCCACCGCCCAAGACACCGTCCTAGCAATCAATCATCACCATCACCACCGTCTGCCATCTTGTCTCGTACCAAATGAATAATTCCCAGAGTGTCTGGCTTGTTCGCCAGTGTTCCGGCCCTGTCACACGTGCAAAAGTGTCCAAAGGCGGTGGGAGGGAATG